ATTGTGCGACCTCCGCCATAACTCGACTCCACTTCGCGAGGGTGACTTCGGAACCAGGAGATTTCTCGGTCGCCAGGGTAATGATTTGGTCGACCAACGAGAGCTTGTGGCGGCGATCGGACCTGCTACACTTGGCTTTGAGCAGTTCAAAGATCGATCACGGGTCCTCTTTGTCGGTGCTGTCAACGATGCCGAGTAGATCTTCGTTGATCGTCGATCTGATCAGGCCGGCAATCGAGTCCTGCTCGTCAAGCAGTCGGTCGGCGAAGTTTGACTCGAGGCTGGAAAAGTTCTTGACTTGAAAAACTTGACGAAGCGTGAGATTGAGCTCTTTTTCCCAGATCTGGAAATTGAACCCGTCGCATGCTAGTTTTGTCTTCGCTGGATTGGCGGCGTGGTGAATACCGATTGGATCCTTGTTGAAGTTCCGGATGGCTATTTCTGATCGGCTGAGGGCCGACGATCCTCCCGGGTTTCCTGACTGAGGTAGAAGGAGCTTTAGTTTTTCAAACTCCGATTTGAGAAAAAGGTAGTCTTGAGCAGTGGGGTTGTTGGTAGTCATATCGATCTCTGCAAGTGAATCGTATATCTTTTTGTTGTTTTCTCTTTCAAGTAATTTCTTTTCGATTTCCTTCTGATGTTTTATTCTTTCTTCGTCTATCTCTCGTCTAAGGTTTTCAGTCTTCAATCGTTCTAATTCTCTTTCTTTTTCGATCTTGGCTTCTGTTTCTTTCGTTGCCTTTTCTCTTATCGCTCGAAAATCTGCGCTTCTGCTACGTCCAGCACTGCTCATCCAGACAAGTCGATGTCTCCCAAGAAATTTGTACGAATCCCAACGGCGTAAAAATAGAGCTGGCTTTTAACCTATAAAGGTGTGAACCTAACGATAAGGAACACGCCACGTGAGCACAGGTACGCTACGGGTATTCGACTCCAAACTCGGTTAGATTACTACTCACCTGACGATAAGGAACACGCCACGTGAGCACAGGTACGCTACGGGTATTCGACTCCAAACTCGGTGAAGAGAGAGAGAGGAGCCGGTACCCGGCGCATACAACAGCTAGACTAAATACATGATGTTTCGCCGCAGCAACTCGTTTAGGTTTAAGATGATGATAGATAAGGTTGAAACACATGTAAGTCTATCCTGCGTTAAGTTTGTGATCTTGTAACTCTGCGCTAACTCTAACAATTAGAGCATGATCATGAGGTCATATCACTTACTGCTCAAAGGAGTTGTTGTCACTTGCACTCCAGGAAAAAGATCATTGCAATCCGGAAAAAATCTCATAATTTTATCTCAAAAGTGTGTGATAATATTGGATTAGAAATTTGGATCAGACCTTCTGGTTGTGTTGTATGTAGAAGTGCAAATCATGTCCAGGACTGAACATGTGGGAATGGGAGGACTTGAAGTGGGAATATGCAAGGATTCATGGTGCCACATATAAAATTGTCAAGACCCATTACCCAGTTCTAGAAATTGTAGTAAGAGACATGCAAACATGGAAGTCTTACTGACAAGCTTGCCAGAACTGTTTTTGGTAACCAAAGACCTCCCCCAATTCATGTTGAGTCCCTGTAGCAGTCCATGCAGCTTACATCAATAATCCAACATTGCCATCTTAATAGGTAATTTGGGCCAAGGTGGCCAAGAAATTTCCATTTTCATGAGCCATTAAGGTGTTTTAAAATAATCCATCCAGGGAAGGGGATGGTAGGAATCTTCTAATAGCGGGATTGTGTGATATCCACATGATGATTCAATGTCTCCTAAGTTTTTATGGATGCATATTATTGTTGCTGAAAATTTTTACTCTGAGTGAGCTTCTAATAGCACCTAATCATATATATATATATATTGATTGATATACAGATACTGGGTCTTGAACCTGAAGTTGAAATTAGTCTTATTGCATTCCTATTACCGGTTGTCTACAATTTTGACCCAATTTTTGGACCTGGATTGTAAATTTTTTGATTGGTTTTTTTTTTTGGTGCGGAGGGATTTACATTGGAGGTCAGCAGGGTGGGATGTAAGGATGGAATAGGTCTTATCAACTGTTTTTGTGTGACATATTTGGAGAAGGGGAGAGGTGAAACTCAGGATTTGGGGTGATGTGATGCAGATACCACTAGATCAAGGCCAGGGAACCAAAGAAGATGATTGGACAAGGAAATAATTCATTCCATATGGAAAGCTAGAATTGGAGGGACTGGCTAAAGCTTATTTGCTGGTGAAAACTGCTTGATCTTGAAGTTTCACCAGCAAACAAGGTTTAGCTTGCCAGGCTGAATTAAGCAACCTGGGCAATGGGAAATCCTCTGATCTCAAAAAATGAAGTTGAGGAGGTTTTGTCTTTTTCTTGGCAACATTGGTTTAATTTTTCAATACAGGTGGGCAAGAGCATATAAGGAACTAAGAGTTATCAATAAAAGATGATGGGCAGAAGATTTGGGGAAGAAACCAGCTTGCACTGGAGGTAGGGAGTAATATGACTTGGCTGATTCTGGAGGAGACTGGTTGTTTTGGTGTTTGACATGGTTCCTAGTTATGGGAGTAGTAAGTTGGCATCAATTGAGTGATTAAATTCCTTTCTTGTGTTTGTTTTCTTTCCCAGCATCTTTGATTCCAATGAGACCCTTTATCTGAGTTGTTGATCCCTTGGCTATTGTGCTCAGGTGATGGGTCAACAAATAATCAAGAGATGAGAACTTTTCAAAAATACATTATTTTAATTTTTAAGCACTTTATTTCTTGATTAATCATCTGTTTTGATGCATAGTCTGGTTCAATCACTTAAGGACCTAATTACCTATTATACTCATGAAAAATATACAGGGGGAATTCTGCCCATAATGTGCATGGCAATCAAATTCTCTGTAGTTAATTAATATTTTTGCCTCTGAACCCCCAAGATGCACATTTTTCACATGTTTGATTGAAAGTGTCCAAACTTTAAATTTTGGAATGAGGAAGAATAGGAATACACACAAATCGAATTCAAGATACCCTCTGTTGTGTTTATTGAGGATTTTTTTTGGGAGGGAACAGATTATAGGCTCAACAATCCCACAGAAACTCCCCATAAGCAGTTGCACTTGTAAGCATGCTTAAGAAATTGAGTCATTATTACTACTCAAAAAAATGCCAAAAACGTGAAGGTGTTGGTGCCAGAATATTTATTTACCAAGTTCAAAATACTATGAATGAGACCCAGAGAAAAAAAAGACTTGGGGAATCTAGGGCTCTCAAAATCAGAGATCTGGGATCCTCTGGATCCATGGGCTGAAAAACTGATGGTTTGTTTTCAAATTCTACCGCTGATGGCTGAGCTCAGCAGGCATGTTTGAATTGAAACCCAAAGGAATAATTATAGAGAATTTATTCTATTTCCCACAATATACTGGTAAATGAGCTTTGTTGAATGGATTCCACAGCTAGCACATTTCATCCAATATTTTTTCAATCAAACAATGAAAGAAAATAACAAAAAATAAACCCAGGGAGTTGAATCAGAAATAAATAAAAACAGATACAAAAAATAAAAACCTCCAAGTTAAACCCCAAAGTAAAATAATTCAAATATAGAATCATTCCTTTCAGCTTAAACAGTTTGAAAATGCTTGGGACCCCCTTGAATACCCCATCATGAATAAGCTACAATAATGGATTGAAAAAGGATTTTGTTTTCATTTTTTATTATGAATACCAAAGATTCTTTTGATTATGTTTAAAGAACTTCCAGCTGAAGAATACTTATTTCTGAGTTTTTCAATTTCTTTTTTTAACATTCCAACTTGATCTTGGAGTTCTTTTTCACAGTCCAACTTATTGTGATCCTGTATGTTGATATTATCTCTGTAAATTTTTTGTGATGAGGAGTCTTCAATGTGATTTTCAATTAAATTCAGCTCTTCTTGGGCTGATATCTTCTGAATTCCCATTTTTTTGCTCAAAGGGAATTCATTCTTCAGATATAAATGGATATTTTCTAACTCCAAAAGAGCACGTGTTCTTGAAGAAATCAAATCTATTCTCTGTTTTACTTCATCATCAATATAATGATTCACTTTAAGCATAAAAGGACTTTTTGATTTAGCATTGAGATCATTCTTATTAACAAGTTTTATAATTTGGCTCATAATGATGATTCCTTCAATTTTGGTCCATTCCCTATCCCACACTTTTTGGTCTTTGAAAAGCCCAATGAGGATCCCAAATTCCTTCACAACATCCTCTGAAAAATATCTTGTTTCATTGTTCAAAGCAGAAATAAGTGCAGAGGTTTTTAATAAGCAGTTGATCCATTTTTCCACACTTTTATCCATTAAATCTGCATTGTTTGGCCTGAATTTTTCAGATATCTTCTGCAGAGATCTGTGTGACAAATCTACTTTGGAATTTTCATCAAAAACTTTAAATCACAAAATGTAAAAATTTAAAATTATGTCAAAAAGAAAATTCCGGATTAATTAGAAAGCCATGTGATCTGGAACCAGGATTGGAACACACCTTGTATGATATACAAAAGAGGAGATTGGTGCCAGCTTGTCATAAGAATACTAAGGTCTTGAAAGATGTACCTTTTGTCTTCTTTCCCAAAATTGTAAAAATTCATGAACATGTTGAGGGTAGTTGGAAAAATATTTGATTTGCACCAATTTGAAGCAACTTCATTGAATTCAGAGGGAGTAATCAAGTTAAACTTGTAAGCTTGATTTGCTGTTTGGATAAGATTTTTTTAAGAAGAATAACATCTTTGTCTTCATCATATACAGAACTGTAAAATTTCTCTTGCAAACTGATAGCAAGCTTCTTCAAATTTTCCCTAGGGAAAAGCTCTACCAGTGTCATTGAGCTCATTGTATTTTGATTTGCTTGAATAGGTCTTTTCCAGGAAGATGAAGATTTGTAATTTTATCAGTAGACACAACTAAATGGGATTCTATTAATCCATAATTCATCAAATGTGGGGACATACTGTTTTTTCAAGTTATATTACAATTTTGGGGTCTGGGAAATCATTCTCATTTGCCCATTTTTCCAATTCGTTTTCAATGTGTTCTTCCAAGCTTTTGTGGATCAACTCTAAATTTTCAACATGTTCACAAAGGACAGGCTTTGAATCAACATATGATGTCCCATAGTAACCGTAGCTATCCTTGGTGGTAATTTTTTCTTTCTTTTTTCGGTTTGCAATGACCTTTTTCAGAGTTATACGGTCCTCAGTAATCGAGTTGAAGTCTTCCCAGAGATACTTTATTTGAAGATTTGCCCAGTAAGGGTCAATTGAAATTGATTTGGAGGAACCTTGTTCTTCAGGCCCGGCTCTTCCCAATGCGAGGTGCAACTCTTGGGAAGAATAAAAATTAGTGGCTCGGGAGTACACGGCGGGGCAAGTTTGAACTTCTGGATACCGCTCGCAGGACGGTTTACCTTTGGAGCTCTCTTCTGACCATAAAGAACGCCACAATGACGATGTGGGACTTAAGCGCTCGCGTAACGCTAATCGGTGCGACCCGGTGACTCTTGGGTCCCGAGGGCGGCAAGTTGACGCTTGCAAAGTCGTTCCCGCGTCGACTGCGTCTCGGGGACGCTCTACAACGATCATGATTTTTTCTTCCCAAAAATGTGTGTAGAGGGTAGTGTGACCTTGGAACGCCTGGTTGAGCAACTTTCTCTAGAAAAAAAAAAAAAAAAAAAAAAAAAAAACTTTGCAAAAAAAAGTTGCGACAAAATGACTAGCGCAAACGACCGGATTGAATGATTAGTGTAATCCGGGAGGGTTAATAATAATGACTGGTTTTCGAGCGGTGGATTGCTTACGCATGAGTTCTCGTTTGCTCATGGGGTGTGCTCCGGCTGCCAGGTTCCGGTGCAAGTTCGAGCCTTGAGCAGCCAGCTATTTTTTTTGCTCGGCCGACCACGCTGCGCCTGCTTGAGGGGTGAGGCGAGTGTGCCGGTGACTCACCACTGCGACCTGGAAGGACGCCCTTGCAGCGCCGACTCAACGATCCCCTGATGCCGCAGGGTCGATCAGCGGAGGTGCGATGATAATCGCACTCCCCTCCCCTCCCCGCACGCCCACGCCCCCGCCCCTCCAAAAGGGGCGTGCGATCCAACCCGCCCCTCCTGGAGGGGCGGGTTTGATCGCACGCCCCTCGGAAGCGCGGGTGGGTGTGCACGCCAGCCAAGAACCGACATACGTCGGTTTTGGCCTGGCGGGTATGTTAAGCGAGGGGCGGGTGCTTTGACCCGCCCCTCGACAAGCTCGGAACCTTACCGATACGATATCGGTAAGGTTCCTGTCTCTGAACCTTACCGATATCGTATCGGTAAGGTTCTTGGCTGGGCTTACGTGATCAAAACATCCCTGGATGTTTTGATCACGTAAGCGCCCTGTCTCTCTCCTCCCAAGGAGAGAGAGAGAACCTTGATTCCCGGCCGCTTACCTCATCAAAACATCCCCGGATGTTTTGATGAGGTAAGCGGCTTGCTGCTCTGTTCGTTCCCCCCCCCCTCTTGCCTCCCCCTCTTTTTCTGTCCTCAACCACCACCTCACCCATCCCAGCCAACCCCCCCGAACACAAGCGGCGCGAAACGACCGCCTCCCAACCCGACCGAGGCTACCGAAACCGACCGAGGGTTGTTTCCAGGCCCGAGAGCTGCCAAGGGAACCCACGCACGTCCGAGGCATCGATCCGGTCCGATCCGATCCGATCCGATCCTCAAAAAAAGGCACCTGGGTCAAAAAAAAGTGTGTTTTTTTGGTTTTTTTTTTTTTGGTTTTTCCTGTCACTTGCCCCCAAAATACACCAAAAAGGGCCTTTTTTTGGGGGCTATCCAGCCATGAGGGTATGAAGCTGACCCCTTTTTTTCATTCCAGAAGACCAACCAACCTCAAATTGCACTCACATCTGAAACCAATCCCGGGCAATAAAAAAGAAACTAGGCCATGTGAGTATTTTTTTTTTGGGTCCAGCAAAATACGCCTCAAAGGGATTTAAAAATGGGGGCTATCCAGGCATGCATAAGGGTATGATGCTGACCCTGGTTTTTGATCCATCCAGAAGACGTACTGCCACATAAAAGTCCAATCAGGGGCAATAAAAAAGGGCCCTAGGTACAACATGTGAGTAATTTTTTATGGGTGCCCAATCAGGAAAAGTCTGAGGCTTATTTTTTTTTTCATCCACACCATAGCCCTACAAACCGCTCGAGTGAGGCTCCAATCAATCCAGGGCCATATATAAGAACCCTAGGTAAAACATGTTAGTAGATTTTCTCTTGGGCGTCCTGCCCCCCAATGCGCCCCAAATAGGTGTGATTGGGGATATGCAGCATTCCAATATGGTATGAGGGTACGTGAGAAGTGAATTGCTCACAGATTTTCTTTTTGGGTTCCTTTCAGTCCTCCTACACGAACTGCAACCACCCACACCTACTCTCTCAAGTGTCAAGTGTAAGTATTCCGATTTTTTTAACCCTTGCCATAATAAATTCAATGCTGACTTCTACCTGTGGTTGTATAGACCATGTCTACCCTGGAACGTAAGTTAATCTCTTGGCAGTTTTCATCATGCGTTCTCGCCATCTCACACATCTGCTTGAAAAATGTCACAGGGTTAGACCTTTACGAGAAAGTCCAGGCGTTGGCTACCCACCCGGCTTTGAAACCAAACGAACGGGGCCACATTCAAGCCCTCCTCAACGATATCAAGGCAGATTACGAGAATTCTGATGACGAGGATATGGGTCGTCCAGAGGTCACTGACATCCGAAGGTCACCTGAAACCCCTGTCGGTGAGGAGCACACCCAAACTGCTGTGCAGTCAAGTGCTCTTCCAGGTGCCCAATCCTCGGCTCAAACCACTGGTACAGAGACTCACCCGGCCTCAGACTCCCACCCGGCAAAAGACGTCCGAACCCCTAATCAATCACCCACGTGTGCCCCAAGGAAGGGTGAATTTTTCATCCTCCCAAATCCTATTGGCGCACCTCGAACAACCTGCCCCACCTTCAGCCAATTCTCGTCAGCAAATACAACCGGTCCGGTACAGGCTGACGTCAACATGGGTTCACACATGGAAGATGGGCTACATGCGGACAAATCACAGAATACTCTCAACACGACGGGAGGGAGGAGTTTCCTCACGCAAACTGGGATTGAGTTTCTAGAGTCAATTGAGCAAAATCATGCGGTCCTTAACAAGAGGGTTTCTGTTCCACCCGCGTCCATCCCTCCGACTCGCCCAGCAACTGCGGTTCCATCAAACCCCTCCACCACTGCGCCTGTTGGATCGGTCCCACTTCCAAAGAGAACAGTCATCCACGAGCCACGTGCACGTCCGACCGAATACCGCTTTCCCATGGTACAATTGGAAGGGATTGATGATGATGTTGCGGCCAAAAGAGCACGCTTGGAACGCCGTGGTTCACATGAGGATGCCGATGGGGAGCCTGATGACGAAGTCGACAACACAGACAACCAACAATCGCAAGGACCAGTCAGCTCGGCTCTTGACAATGGTCTGAGGAGGACTGAGGAATTCCGGCGCGGGGAAAACAGACTCCCTGAGAAGGGCACTCAACCTTCGGAATTCATGACGGAATCTATGTTCAGGGACTACATTATTCCGCGAAGACCACATGAGGGCACAGGAGCAAGCACAAATGAGAAGCGCCCACGGGATGACCAGAGCCAACGTTCTTCTGGGGCCACTCCTTCGCGGTCTGCAAGATCACCTTGTGAGTTGTTTGTGATGATTGTTGGTAGGATATTAGCTGAGTTGAATCATTCTTCCTAGCGGTGGAGCTGTTTGTCCCTGGCCAACACCTACAAGCACAAGAGGTAACCCAATGGAACACCGAGTTGTCAACTGGAATCCCGTGGTCAATTCAATCTGCGGAAAAGAGTATGATCAATATCAGTTTCATACTCAACAACCTCCCCCAATTGATATCGTCACACCCCACGTTACCTGAAGAGGCCACTAGATCACTTTGGATAGATTTGGAGCACACACATCAGCTATGTGTTTCAGGTATGAAGTATTTCTGAGCCAATGACATTACTCTTCTGACTCATGCTGATATGTATGATTGTCTCCACAGAGGAGATTTTGAAGACAGCGGGGAGTTTGTCTCTGATCACACGTGACATGGTCAACATGGACCAAGTTACTCAACCTCGGGCAGGTTCGGTGCGGGCCGGCTCACACATACTTGCCCCCAATCTGGCAACCTTCTTTGCCCCTCCCAAAGTCGCATACACTCGTCTTCGTGAGGCTTTGCAGCAAGCATGGGGAATACGACGTTTGGCCAATGTGAAAAACGAGTGGGTTCAGCAAGCGAATGACGAGAATAACGGGTTATACACGGCTTATTACCATTTCTGCCAATCGTATGATAACCTTGGCGCATCACTCAACAACGGGGCAGGTGATGGCGCATCACGATCGGCAATGGAGTTGGTCCAGAACTTCTGTGGCGCTTGGCGGGGCTGGCTTTCATCTGCACAAAGAACAACATGAAACCCAAGCAGGCCAAATTGGATAAACTGCGGACTGTTCACCACGTACAACATGTGCAGACGCTCGCAAACCTCTTGGTCTTTGGCCCAACAGCGGCTTTCACGTCACTCCACAAAGGCCCACACATGACATTATCGAACGCGAACGCCTTGTTGGAATTAGGCTCCAGTGTGCTCAAACAGAAGATTGACCTGGGAATCACGACGCCGATGCCTCATTCTACATTGGACAATCTACGACTACATTTCCTCAATTTCCTGATAAGAATGGGTTTCAACAGGTTGGACAATGAAGGTCTCCCTCAGGTGAATTGGAAAGACGTGCATACTTCTTTCTACAACGACTTTTCTCCTTCTGTGATTGCACAAATTTTTTCTCAAGATATTGAAATAGCACTGGCCCACCGGTTGGTTTGATGGGTTGTGCCTTAGGGCTCTTTTGGCATGTTTTTTTCCTCTGAGGGCGGGCTTTTTTGGATATTATTGTCTTCTGCTTTTGTCTTCATCATTTGGCCTTTTTGCTTGTCCATGTGATTCTGCTATTAATTTCTTCTCTTGATTTAGTATGAGACAGTGACACTCCTGTTAGTTTCCCTCTATGTGGTCAGGGGCAAGTTCCTGTTTTGCTTGTTGGCTTGGTCTCCCGATGTTTGTTGTCTTGTATCCGCAATACTGACTCATAAAAGATGTCTGACATGAATAAGGAGATACAAGGCGCCACGGAATCATCCTCCAATGAAAGGAGGGGAAATTGGCCAAAGGAGATATCAGTAAGAACATATATGTATGACTGGCCTCTTGGGTGTATGGGAGGCCAAAGGGTCAGTCTTGTTCGTTGGTCAAACGATCAAATATCATCAATAGCAGAAGTCACTGCTAATCATATTCAATTGATTGAAGAATCAACCAAGACATGAATTTTATGTGCACTCCTTGGGAGTAGTGCCCAACATCAATTAAACAGAATCAATTAAACAGAAGTGATAAATTGGATGAAACCAAAGGAGAGTCAAAGGAGAGGTCACGAGGAGCAAGTGGAAACATAAGGAAGAGATTTAACCTCAATCAAAATGAGGAGAAGGAGAGGAAACTAGACATGAAGAATAAAATCAGTCATGAGTACACTCTGGGAATACATTTTGGTGTCCAACAGTCGGAACATGACCGACGGATTGACTGATGGGATCATTTTGTAGGAGATTGGTTGTAGAAGTTGAGGGAGGGCTTTATGGTTTCCAACCAGGGCTCAATTGGTTTTCCTCGAGTGGTCCTGGGCAGCCCCGAGACTGGCGGGTATGGAATGAGACCTCGTTTTAGATGGAGCAGTATCCAATGGTTCCCATTGATGAAAGCAAGGAAGATCGGCCAGGTCGGCTGGTTTCCTGGGCGCTTGGTTGTGGGGATATAAGTCATAGACCCCATCTGGGACACGAAGACCATAGGCGTATTGTACCGATTGACGAGCAATGGTCTGATGTCTCCGTTACTCATCCACTTGTCCATGGGTACGTAACTTGCCTCTCGATTCACTGTGAGTGATTCACCAACTTGTTTAACCGCTCCGTCTCCTCCAAGGATCCCAGACCAAAGGGGTTTGTTCGAATTAAGCTCCTCCAAGAGTTCGGTTCGCACTTGATGCCACCCGTCTGGTTTTCCATAGGGGCCATTGGGGTAAACCACTGCCAAATGATGTGCCACACACCGGTAACCACAGTTCCCATCCCCTGGGGGGTCATAAGTTGATTGCGCATAGTTGGTGATCCACGAGGGGAGCTCAGGGATTGTGGGCTTCTGTGTGAGTTGATAGACAAGAATAGTAGGTGACATGTCAGATCATTGTCATTGCAGCAAATGAGGGAAAAACAAGGAGGCCAGCTCACCAGGACACCAACCCTTTTGGGGACCCATTTGCGTTTAAGAGGCCTCTGGAGGTCTGATGCGGCGGGGGCAGCACTTCCCTGGTTGCATCCCAAAGCAATATGAGAAAAAGATGACGGACTGTCGGTTAAACAGCAGATGAGGCTTACACCTGGATTCTCCCCCTCTGCCTGGACACTATTAGGTTGCGGCACCTCAGTCTGCGCTATTTCACCCTGGATTCACCCAAAGCCACATGGGGAGAAAAACATGCAACGGTCAATATGTAGCATCTACACAATGATTAGACCAGCACTTAATCTGATCAATCCAAAAGTGTAGACTCACCTGTGGACCCGTTGTTATTGGTCCAATGCTCCCCTGCGGATCAGCAGTATTGGAGACCTTCCAAATAGGCACGGGGTTCCAATGGGGAAGGCATCAGTTTCAGCCAATGTCTGATCATTCAAACAAACAGGCAAAAAATGAAACATACCAGAGCTGAAACTAGGTCCACACCAGATGGGGGCATGTCACAATTGCCCTCGCCATCCTCGCGTGTGGCGTCCTCATATGCCTCCGAGGTTGCGATCTCCTCATCAGACTCATCTTCAGAGAATCCGGAGGAATCCAAAGATGAGTCATCCCCCTCGGAGCCAGCTGAAGCAACCGGTGGGCCTTTGTCCCCCTTGTCCCCCAAAGGGGACAAGCTGGCCGCTTGTTTCCTTTTCCCGAGCACAGTTGCTGGAGCCCTTGTGTTAGTGCCATCCTTGCATTTGGCCTTCGGTTCTCGACCCTTCAGAATGGCCCTGGCCGCCTTCAGCTTGGCATGAGCAGCAAGTTTCCTCGTGGCTTTCTTCTTGGTTTTCTGGGCCTTTTCAATTTCCTCCTCAACCACCTCGGCGTGTATTGGATCACGTTTGGCCAATTGTTGGCCTCGGCCAAGTTTCTTGCGTTTCTTGGAACCCTTTCTTGTTGATTTGCGTACTGGCTCAATATCAGGCGCAATGGGCACAACATGTGTGTTATATAACACCTGCCTGAACGTCTTCATCAGTCCTCGCAAAGTCATAGGCCCGTGGAGCGCCAATATTTCCACTTTGAGGGTCTCATCATAATCCTTATTGAAGTCATATATTTCTTCTTTGTCCTGTTAATGGTGGGTGGCCAAATTCAACACACATCCTCAGTAACAGTGCTTCTTACAAGAGAGAAAATGTCACCTACCGGATTATCTGGGTTGTAACTCAAGCTCCACTGAGGGTGGAAGTCTGACAGTTGAACCTCATCGCCCCTCTCCAAGATCTCAGCTAACATGTGCCAGCATGGAATCCCCATGCTCGCCTTGTAGCTCCCGGTACACTCCGAGTCATCTGCGCCCCCAGCCTTCGCACACGCCTTCTCCTTCCATATTTTATGTTGAGCATTGGCCAGATGCAGTGCATGGATCGATACACATGCATGGAGATGCTTGAAAGGTGGCTCGATTCCAGACAAAGAGGAAACCGCCTGGTTCTCCAAGTTGACCACGTTCCTTGTCACCTGCTCGGTAACCGCGTCTGCTATTTTTTCGAATACAATCGCCATGTCCGCCTTGTGGCTGTTCAAGTGAGACTTGAGCCAGCTGTGTGCCGATTCCCCACGAGCGGTAGTTTGATTACCCAAGTGTGGGGTCTGAGAAACCCACGGGGTCATGAAATAAAATCGGTCTGGCAAGACATTATCAATGAGATACTCGACAACAACCACGCGCTCCTCGCCAAGATATTTCACAAGCCGAGCCCAAGCGGCGTCATACGTCGCCTCGTCCTTCGCGTACTGTACTTCGTTCCATTTTGACTTGAACACGTTCCATTCCGCCTGGTCTTTCACGAATGACCGCTGGCAATTGGCCCGGATGTTCTGGTCAATATGCCACAAGCATACGTTGTTTATGGCATCTGGGAAGTGTACAGCGATTGCGTTCCTGAGGGCCTTCTCCCGATCTGTGACAACCACCTGGGGGGTCCTCTCTGGGGCCCAAACACCACTACACAATGACCTCATTAGCCTCTTCCTCCTTACCTTGGAAAAAAAAAATAGAGCACTCACGCCAGCTTATTCAACGCCCATGCATACGCCTCATTAGTCTCATTCCGCATAAAGCAGAACCCAATTGAAAAAGTCATGTTAGTCGCAGATTGCCCCACAATGTGCAAGAGGGGATAGTTGGTGACATTTGTCTTGTACGTGCAATCCATCAGAACGACATGATGGAACCTCCGGGCGAGCTTCAGTGCCTCCGGATGAGCAAACCATAGGTATAGAAGTTGACCTTTTGCGTCATAGGCTGTTTCATGTTCCCAGTTCAAACTTTGGACCGTACGGAGCAAGAATTGGATTGGACTCTCACCACCCCGCTTGGCCCTTCTTGCCGCGGCAGTCGTATTGTAGATCGTTCGAAGTGAGACAAATTCCCCGTTGGTCTTGTTGAGCATCTGGGCAATCGCCTGAGGTTTCAGACCGAGCGAGTGTAGACGATTCACCTCCTCCTGCACTTCTGGAGCCAGCCTTTTGTGCACGGTCTCACATTTCACATTGATTGGGCCATGATTGTGAGGTGAACGTGATGCCCGTAGTTCCCAGGTAGCATTTGGGAACTGTTGTGAATTGGAGTGATGGCCAGATAACCGGTACAGACAACCGATCTTGCGATTGCGGGATTCTCGTTGCCTCGCCACGCCTGCCGGCCTGCGGTCCTCCCCGCCCAAAGAACAACCCAAATACACATTTTTCCCTCCATGTGATTTACCAGTTGGGACATTGTAACCATGAGACCTTGCCCACCTTTGAGCAAATTCTCTCAAGGCATCTGCATTAGTGAAGCGGTACAGTGGGGGATCATCCATTGGAGCTGTTGAAAGATTGCAAGCCTGTCAGTCTCAGCCCAAGCATATGTTCAAGCCATTCTGGAGCTCCACTCACCTCCAATGGAGTAGTCAAACTTGTCAACCTCCGCACGTGTCAACACCACTGTTTGGGGGTCTTGTTGAATGTCCCCATCAGCCCGAGTGGCGGGGTTGCCTATTGTGACCTCTGGGCCTGGCACCTCTGCTTACCAGAAGAGAAAACAATCAACAAGTGTCCCGATGCATTATATGCACC